CCATGCAACCCTTTGTTCACAGACTAAACAGTTCCGTTCTGGAAGAGCCCATCCAGCCGCCCTGGGTCCTCTGTGCAATCCAGCTAGCTTGGTGACTTCCTCATTCTTCTCCTTCCTCAAGCTGTAAATGGAGATCAGGGTAATTCTTGAGAAAATGGAATTTAACAGGGCAGCAAGTCTGGGAGAGGAGAAGGAGGGACGAGCCCGGTCGGTGCTGGAGCATGAAACGCTTCCAGATGCCAAAATCACTTACCGCTGGCTCCATTTTGCTGGCAGCACTAAAATTAAATACTGCTTTCCAGTAGCTGCGGTGGGAATTGGATTTTGCATCTTTTATTAGATCCTTTGGAAATGACCTTGAAAGGTAGGAGAAGCTCAGTGGTAGAAAATAATATTGTCAAGAGAACAGTGACTCTTGAAAAGAGTTTCAACATTTTTAAATTGTGGGTTTTAAAGCCAGGCAAAGTTCAAGTGTCTGAACAAGGCCTCTTTAGTAGCCAAAAAAAAAAAAATAATTAAATTTAAATTTAAAGCAAGATCTTTTCCACAACTACTTGAAGAACTGCTGCCACCTCATGGAAAACTCCTATAAATTTCCAGCTTAGGCGAGAATCCATGTTTGCATTTTTTTCTGGGTCTTTCTCTCATTCCTGCCATCCTGTCATGTGCCCTTGGACCTAAACCCCTGGGAATCTTTGGCCTACAAATTGCAGTTTTATATGATTGTAGGCCAGTTTGAAAATGTTAAGAAAACCAGAACAATGGGTTTAGAAATCAAGAGATGAGCCAGGCATGGAGGCACACGCCTGACATCCCAGCAGCTCTGGAGGCTGAGGCAGGAGGATCTCAAGTTCAAAGCCAGCCTCAGCAAAAGTGAAGCGCTAAGCAACTCAGTGAGACCCTGTCTCTAAATAAAATACAAACTAGGGCTGGGGATGGGGCTCTGTGGTCGAGTGCCCCTGAGTTCAATCCCTGTACCCCCAAAATTAAATAAAGAATACTTAAATGACTTATGAACATGAAAACCCTAGAACCCTACTCCAGGTGCTGGGCTCCAGAGGACTGGTTACTGTCTTGGGCAAGTCACTGGTTCTGCTCCGGGCTGCAGACTCTCCCTTGTCCACACTGCCCACCTGAGGGTGCCTGAACCTACACTCTCTACACCTGGGACATGACCCACGGAGGTAGGACAGCTGAGGGTCATGGCTCGGACACCTACACATTCATCCAAGATCATAATTGTGACAATATTTATGTGGCAAATAAGTTTTCAGATGTCTCCTTCATGAATGAGCCCTGCTGTGTGTTTCACCAGAAAAGTGGAGATGAACAAGCCCAGTCTTCCCCTCAAGAAGCCAGTCTGTCAGGGTGACTGGGCATGGACAGTTACAAATCAGAAAGAGGTGGCAGGCTTTCATGCCCCCTCTGGGCCTAGTACTGTTCTACATGCTTGATGAATATAAACTCATTTAATGTTCACAATGCCCCTTTGAGGTGATACTATTTGCCTTAGTCCATTTTCAGTTGCTATAGCAGAGTACCCTGAGACTGGATGGTTTATAAAGAATAGAGGTTGATCTTGGCTCAGGGTTCTGGAGGTTGGAAAGTTCAAGAGAATGGCACCAGTATCTGCTTAGCTTCTGGTGAGCTTTGTGGTGCTTCAACTAACGGTGGAAAGTGGAAGGGAAATTTGCAGAAGAAAGGAGAAGATAAAGGGAACAACCCATTTAAAAAAAATTTATTAGTTGTTGATGGACATTTATTTATTTACATGTGGTGCTGAGAATCGAATTCAGAGCCTCACACATGCTAAGCAAGCACCCTACCATTGAGCCTCAACCCCAGCCCTGTGAACAACCTATTTTATAAAAACCCACTCTTGTGTTTGTTTGTTTGCTTGTTTTTTTGTGGTGCTGAGAATCAAACCCAGTGCCTCACACGTGCGAGGCAAGTGCTCTACCACTGAGCTACAGCTCCGGGTCCTCTTCAATTTTTAATCCACACATGGTGAGTGTATACATTTACAGTTTCCAGTGCAATATTTCCAAACATTTATGTTTGGAATGATCAGATCAGGATACTTGGTGAACCCATCGCCTTAAACACGTATCTCATTTCTTTGTGTTGGGGACATCCTCTCTGCTAGCTTTCTTTTTGGTACCAGGGATTGAACTCAGGGGCCCTAGACCACTGAGCCACATCCTCAGCCCTATTTTGTATTTTATCTAGAGACAGGGTCTCCTTGAATGGTTAAGCACCTTACCATTGCTGAGGCTGGTTTTGAACTCCTGATCCTCCTGCCTCAGCCTCTGGAGCTGGTGGGATTGCAAGCGTGTGCCACCCCACCTGGCTTCTACTAGCTATTTTGAAAAGCGCAGTGAATTCTTGTCACCATAGTTATTCTTATTCCATTGTTCTCTAAAGCATTAGAGACTATTCCTTCTACCAGGCACAGTGGTCCACACCTGTAATCCCAGTGATTCAGGAGGCTGAAACAGGAGGATGGCAAGTTCAAGGCCAGCCTCAGCAACTTAGTGAGACCCTGTTTTAGCATAAAAAATAAAAAGGGCTGGGGATGTGGCTCAGTAGCAAAGCACCCCTGGGTTCAATCCCTGGTACAAGAATAAATAACTAAATAATTAAAAGAGGGGTAGCGTGCGCTAGTGCAATGGCAGCAGTTGGCACCACCTAACCCTGAACTTCACGTCATCGGAGAACAATGGGCCTCATTTCTTATTTAAGGTGCTGCTTGTAGGCGCTGAATGCAATCCTGCCTCAGTAACCTATGCTCCGTGGTTTTAATTTAAAGGAACAGAGGGCAAAAAATTGACATGTGTGCACATTTGTGATTAGTTTCAGGAGCATGAAGGTGCTGAAGAACACAGATAGTCCCAGAAACAGTGACAATTCACACCAAGGGTGAAGACTGCGGGCCACAGAATATAAAGTTCACATTTATGTGGTTCATATTGTGGGATCAAACATCTACCTGTCGTGTTTATAAAATATAATAAGGTCTAAAAGCTTTATTAAAGGGCTGGGGTTGTGGCTCAGCGGTAGAGGGCCCCTGGGTTCATCGGTCCTCAATACTGGAGAGGGCGGGTGGGAGAGGGGGAGAGAGAGAGAGAGAGAGAGGAAGGGAGAGGAGGCTGGGACTTTGCTCTGTGTTAGATCACCTTCCCAGCATGTGTAAGGCCCCGGGGCCTGATACCCAGGCTGTCCTGGCTGGGGGTATGACAGGGGGAGTCTCAGGGAACCAGGCCTGGGAGGCAGAGGAGAGGACAGGCAGAGGTGGCCTCCGGTTGGTTCTGCAGTGTGAGTCGCTCTGTGCACAGTGTGTGGAGGGTCCAGCCCCAGCCTGCCAGCCCAGCTCAACAGGGAGAGCCTCTGCTGGGGACACGGGACCCAGAGGGGCCCTGCAGCCTAGCAGGGGAGGGAAGTGACCAGGGCAAGGGGAGGTAGGGCAGGCCCTGGTCCTGGGGCCTAGGCCAGTCAGCCAGAGGAAGGACAGCAGTGGTAGGTAGCACTGGTCCCCATTCAAGGGCAGGTCCCAGGCCCCCTGCTCTGGGGCTGGACCAGCACACAGGGAGCTGCGCACAAGGGGGGCCGTGTGGCTGGCACCAAGAGGCAGCCCACTGGGCTCAGGACCAGGGCTCCCCAAGGGCCCGCCTGGCTCCAGCGCGGGGGGGCGGGGGGCCCTCTGCGGGCACCCTGGGGGTGGCGTGGGGCGGCAGTGCCTGCCAGGCCCCTCTCTGTTCCTGCTTCCTGTGGCGCTGGCGCTCCTGTCTTCTCTGCTGTCTGGGTGGCTTCCTCAAGCAAGGCTCTTCTCACGCAGGTGCCTGGATCATTTCTGCTTTTGCAGAACTTGGCTGGGATCCTGCAGAGAAGTGGCCATTCAGCTTCACAGGGCCCCAGGGGCTGGGGGACTGGGGAGGGAGGCCACCGTTTCCCAGAATCCCCATCTGACTGCATTTTCCTCCCCTCCCCTGCCTTCCTGAATGAGGCTTTTTGAAAAAAAAAAAAATCTCTTTTTTATTGGTGCATCAAAGTGGGATTCCTTATGCAGACTCGACTCGAACAAGTACACGGAACAGAATTTTATCAATCTCATTTCTTAGTACCTCCGGCCTCCCTTCCCCTGGCCTCCTTGTTCTACTCTACTGGGTACTGGGTCTTCCTTCTATTTTTATTGTTTATTTAATTAATTTATTTATTTAGGTACCAGAGATGGAACTCAGGGACACTCAACCACTGAGCCACATCCCCAACCCCATTTTGTATTTTATTTAGAGACAGGGTCTCACTGCGTTGCTTAACGCCTCACTAAATTGCTGAGACTGGCTTTGAACTCATGATCCTCCTATCTCAACCTCCCCAGCCGCCGGGATTTCAGGCGGGTGCCACTGTGCCTGGCTGACTTCTTATTTTTTAGCAGCAGAGATTGAATCCAGGGCACTTAACCACTGAGCCACATCCCCAGACCTTTTTATTTTTCACTTTGAGACAGGGTCTTGCTAAGATGCTTAGGGCCTTGCTAAATTGCTGAGTCTGGCTTTGGAACTCTCCACCCTCCTGCCTCAGCCACCTGAGCAGCTGGGATTACAGGAGTGCAACATCTCACCCAGTTTATTTTTAATTTTTAATTAGAGCATTATAATTATATATAAAAGTGGGATCCGTGTGGCCTATTCCTACATGGATTTAGATAAATTTATTTCATTCCTCAGAATTTCTCAATGCAGTTTCTGTCCAGGGACAAATGGAACTGAGAAAAGTCATGGCCCTTAACTGGGCACAGTGACACCAGCCTGTAATCACAGCTGTAATCCTAGCGACTCAAGAGGCTGAAGCAGGAGGATTATAAATTTGAGGCCAGCCTGGGTAATCTAGTGAGATTCTGTTTTAAAATTAAAAATAGAAGGCCTAGGAATTAGCTGGGTGGTAGTGTTACCAAAAACTTGGTCCTTGTCCCTGGTGTCAATCCAATAATGAGGACACAGTTTTGACAAAAAGGAAAAAACAAGGTTTACTGCTTTGCTAGCAAAGGAGAAACACAGGGGACTGCTGTCCCAGAGGCTGGGATTCTGCCCATGAGCAGGAACAAGGGGGCTTTTAAAGAGGTGATTCAAAGGCCACCTTCCACGTGTTCTAGGTCTGAGCTGTAATTCACTTGTTAATTTAGGAGAGGGTCATTTCTGAGATCTTCTGGTGCCATCCCCAAGTCTGGATGACTTCCTTCCCATGGTGGGTGGTGCTCAGGACAGAAGAAAGGTGATCCTGTTTCCCCTGAGACTGGGGAGGACAGGGAGAGGAAGAGAAAGAAACATGTCCGTTTTAAAATAAGCCACAGTGGCTGGAGGGGCAGCAGGGGCTGGGTTCAAAGCATCAGGTGGACCCGGTGCAGTGAGTGCCCTGGGCTCAGTCTGCAGGACGGAGCACGGTGGTCCCTAAGGTAGGGCCGCGCGAGCTTCAGATGAACAACACATTTTTTTTTTCTTTTTAGTCTAAATGGCGCTGCAAGGATTGCTTCGGAAGGCCGGCTGGTGGTGGAGTGACCCCCTTGGGGACATGGCCTCTGTTCTCTGATGCAGAATCTGGCCACCGGGTCCACCAGGGCTCAGCTTTCCGAGCTTATCAGATTTCCCAGCAGGAGGAGGGAGGGGGAAGGAGACAAAGGAAAGGCACTAACCCCTCCGAGGGCCTGGGCGTGGCTGGGCCCCGAGGCTCTCCGGGAGGAGGACCGCGCGGGAGGGTCCCCAGGTGCAAAGCTGGCTCGGCCGCCACTTCCGCGGTCTCGAGGCTGCGGCAGGACCTCCCCGGGGTCCCGGGTGCTGCCAGCTCTGGTCAGCACGTGGCACTGTTCCCAGCGCCCGCATTGGCCCTGGACAGGTCTCCACTGCCCCGCGGCCCGGGGTCCCTGCGCCGCCGCCTGCACCTGCCTCTCTGCGCGCCGCTGCGATCTGCGGGCCGCCGGCAGGTGGCGCTGCAGCCCGGACGCCCGCGGCGCTGTCCTGTCCCCGACTCCGCGAAACCCTCGGCGGCAGGTTCCAAAATGGAGAAAGAAGGTGGACGCCGCGAGCAGAGGGCGTGGGGCTGCCGCGGGTCGCCCTGGAGCTGCCCGGTCGGGGCGGGTGGAGGCGAGCGCGGGGATCGGACGCCCCCGACGGGCTCGGGAGGCTAAAGCACCTGGGCGCCCGGAACCGGCCCAGGTGGGGTCTTCGCAGGGCGGGCCGAGGTGCCAGGGACCGCTCTGCCAGCTGCCGCCTGTGATCCTGAGGGCCAGGGCCACCGGGGTCGCCACCCCCCACCCTGCAGCTGGGCACGGACATTTTTAATTGGAGTAAAATGCCTATGACATAATGTTTCCTTTGGACTTTCTTCTCTCCCGGGATGGAGCCCAGAGGGTCCTGACCACTGAGCGACCCTCCCAGCCTTTTTAATTTTGAGACTGGACCTTGCTAATTGTTGAGGCTGGCCTTGAACTTATGATTCTTCTGCCTCAGCCTCCCAGGTCACTGGGATTTCCAGGTGGGTGTCACAGGCCTGGGCTAATTTTGCAGGGCACATGAACCCACTGTGTTAAGGGTCCCCAGAGCGCTGCCGGGCCTGGACCTCTCTGGGTCTCTGTACAGGAGACACTTCAGCAGGAGCAGGAAGCAGGAACAGAACTTAGGCAAAGGGAAGGGAAGGGCCTTCCCAGGCGGAGGCATGGAGGCCAGAGGGGCTCTAGAACTTTCTGACCATCGTGGAGACCAGAGTCTGAGGGATGCTGGGAGGTTCAGGAGGGCGCTGTTGGGCCTCTTGGGGGCAGCCGAGGCCAGCAGAGCTGCACTAGGTGGGGACAGGCCATCAGGACCCTCAGGACCCCTAGTAGGACGTCTTTCCCAGTCTTTCTCTCATTTCTTCCCCCCCTTTCTTCCTGTGGTGCTGTGGATGGAACCCAGACCCTGGGGCCAGCGCTAAGCTCTGTGCCTGTTTTCAAATGTTCCTTACTCCTCTCTTTCCATCATGTGAGGGGGAAACGTTGGTTCCCCCAGCCCCAGGCTGCTGGTCCACCCCTTCACAGTGCCTGCTGCAGGGAGGAGGGTGCTCCCTGGGGCAGTGCTGGGTGACCCCACTCTGAATCCTGGCTTGGTGCTGGACCTTAGTTCTATAAGCCAGGACACAAGCCCTGCCTTCCTGAACCTCAGACTTTTCATCTGTGAAATGAAGAAATACTGACTTAGCCGTGTTTTGAGAATTCGCAGAGCACAGAGGAGATCTTGCAGAATCGAGTGACAGTAGAGCTTTAGTAGATTTTTAGAATATTGTGGTCTTAGTTTTTACTTTTTCACTTTTGCAGGGCTGGGGTTCCAACCAGGGCCTCCTGCATGCTGGACAAGCGCTCTGCCCCTGAGCTGCTCCCAGGCCCTGAGGGAGCTCTCAGCTCTTTAAAGCCTCAGGCTGCAGTGATAGCTCTGGGCTCCCCAACATGCCTGAGGCCTCGGGTTTCACCTGCAGCTCCGCAGAAACAAAAGCAAGAACAAAACAACAGAAAAGAGATGTCTAATTTTCTGCTTCTCAGGGAGACTGTGGTTTGTTCATTCATTTCTCTCACATTTAGTGAGTCCCTTTAAGTCGCCAGCTCTGTGGAAGGTGCTAGAAGATTCTGGTGAATGGGATAGACCCAGTGCCTGCCATCATCAAGCCTGAAACAGGGTAAACCAGCAGAAAACAATGACATAGTTCTTACAACTGGCAGTAATAATGTGATTTTTAAAAATTCTTTTTTGGGCTAGGTTTGGTGGCGCATGCCTGTAATCCCAGCAGCTCTGGAGGCTGAGGCAGGAGGATCACAAGTTCAAAGTCAGCCTCAGCAAAAGCGAGGCACTAAGCAACAGTGAGACCCTGTCCCTAAATAAAATACAAAATAGGGCTGGGGTTGTGGCTTAGTGGTTGAGTGTCCCTGAGTTCAATCCCCGTACCCCTTCCCCCCAAAAAATTCTTTTTTGGTACTGGGGATTGACCCCAGGGGTGCTTAACCACTGAGCCACATCCCCAGCCATTTTTATTTTGAAACAGGATCTCACTAAGTTGCTTAGGATCTTGCTAAATTGCTGAGACTGATTTTGAACTTTCAATCCTCCTATCTCAGCCTCCAGAGCTGCTGGAATTACAGGTGTGCACAATGTATTCAGCAATAATGTGATTTTTTTTGGGGGGGGGGGCCCTAATCCACTGAGCCACATCCCCAGCCCCGAGATTTTGTATTTTATTTAGAGACAGGGTCTCACCGAGTTGCTTAGTGTCTCGCCTTTTGCTGAGGCTGGCTTTGAACTGTGATTGTTCAGCCTCAGCCTCCGGAGCTGCTGGTATCACAGGCGTGTGCCACCGCATTTGGCAATGGGATTGTGAAAAAGGAGTTGAAATCTAAAAATCATGAAGAGGGGGTTAGGGATGTAGCTCAGTGGTAGAGCACTCGCCAGACTGCATGAGACCCCAGTACTGAAAAAGCAAATTCTGAGGTGGAGATACCTTCTTTAGATCGGGGTCTACAAAGGCATCTTTGAGGAGAGGAGACCAGTGAAGGGTAAAACTGGAAGGAGTTGCAAGCAGAGGTGTGCAGAGGGGTGGAGACAATGAGAAAAGGGTCCTCGGCCTCCTGGGACAGATGGGTCGAGCCTCAGAGACAGCCCTGAAGACCAGAGCCGGGAAGATGGCCCACCCCTGTGATCCTGGTGATTCAGGAGGCTGAGGCAGGAGGATTGCAAGTTCAAGGCCAGCCTCAGATACTTAGTGAGGCCCTGAGCAACTTGGCGAGACCTGATGATGTGGCTCAGTGGTAAAGTGCCCCTGGGTTCAATCCCCAGTACCAAAAAAAAAAAAAAAAAAAAAAAAAAATCAGAAAATCCTGTGATGGAAACCAAATCACAGATTCGGAGTCCTTCACCAGCTTTTTTTTTTTTTTTTCTGGGGGTGCTGGGGTTTGAACCCAGGGCCTTGTGCATGCCAGGCAAGCCCTCTACCAATTGAGCTATATTCCACACCCCAGGTTTTTTTTTTTTTTTTTTTTAGTTTACCTTTTGGTACTGGGGATTGACCCAGTGACTTTGATTCCTGCAGATCTCTTGTCCCCAAGGTTCAGTGTCCCCACTGAAAAATTATGCGTATTATTTTCCTAAGCAACATTTTGCTTTCAAGGAGCTACTACATGAATGATTTAGAAGAGGGACTCCCTGGGGTTGGGGATGTGGCTCAAGTGGTAGCAGCTTGCCTGGCATGCGCGGGGCGCTGGGTTCGATCCTTAGCACCACATAAAAATAAAATAAAGATGTTGTGTCCACCGAAAACTAAAAAATGAATAATAAAAAATTCTCTCTTAAAAAAAAAAAAAAAAAAGAGGGACTCCCCTTCTCCACCTGAGACCTGCCCCCTAGCCCTATACCATTAATCAGCTTTTGGAGGGGAGAAGGGAGTATTGGGGATTGAACCTGGGAGCACTCAACCACCGAGCTACATCCCCACCCCTTTTAATATTTTTATTTAGGGACAGGATCTTGCTGAGTTGCTTAGGTCCCCGCTAAATTGCTGAGTCTGGCCTTGAACCCTTGGTACTCCTGCCTCAGCCTCCCGAGCCACTGGGATTCCAGGTGTGTGCCCCTCACCCAGCACCATTAATAAAGCTTTAATTCCCTAAAGGATGAGACCTGGCAGGGTTGTTGGGAAGCTCACCTTCCTGGCTGAGCCCCCAGGGAGCCACCTGGGCCAGGAGGGAGGTGCCTGAGGGAGGGGGTGAGGCTGAGCCCAGATCCCCTTCTTCCCTCCCCTGCCTCCGCCTTTGTCTCTGGGCTGATGATTGCTTTATTACTGTTTTCAGTCTGATATAATTCCAGCATTTTCTATAATCTTGATCTTTTCATTGATACCAGATTTTTATACAAAGAATCTGTATATAAAATGATTGCGCGCCCCGCAGACTGCGTCCCGGCAATTAGGCCGTTGCAGATGCAGCTCGTCTATTACTTTTGAAAGTGTTTTGTGGGTTTTCTTTTTTGTCGGGGGGATGTGTTTACAAATCCAATAACAATTCTCATTCAGAGTTGCAAAACACGGAGCCATTTTGAGCGGCGACAGATGGCGGTAAATGAAGTTTAATTAAAGACTGAGAGCTCGGAATCAAGTCCCTGCGAAGAGCCCGGTGCGGGGCGCGGGGGGCTGCAGCGGCAGCAGCTGCGCGCGGGCCGGGGACCGGGCTGTGCCGCCCGCCGATGCCCGCGCCGCCTCGGCCGGGTCCACCTCCCAGCGCGCAGGGCCGGGGACCGAGAAGGCCCCGCGGGTGGCCTCGGCGGGCGGGGAGGGTGGTCTTCGCGGCTTCCCCGTCCCTGGATCCCGCGCTGTTGGCCGCTCCGACCCGCTTCATCGGCGGAGCCTGCCCGGGGGCGCGACCCGGAGCCCAGCGAGGCCTTGCCGCCTGCGGCCCGCGCACCGCGCTGCCCAGCTGGGGCCGCACCGCCGCGCCCTCCGCCCAGGCCCGGCAGGAGCCGTTTCTGGCGCGGGCTGCAAATCTGAGCGCGCCGGGCTGGGCGGGCGGTGTAGACGGCCCAGCGGCGCCAGCGGTGGCGGGGGCGCCAAGTGGCCGCCCGGGCTCCAGCCTGGGGGTGGCGCAAGAGACCGGGAGGGGCCGCCCGGGAAGGGGAGGCCCCGGCGGCTCGTCTTTGTCCCTGGCGGTGCTGGGAAGCCGCCGCAGTGGGTTTGGTTTCTTGAATCCGGAGTCCCGGGAACTGTCGCAGGGGAGGGGCGGAGGCCAGGTGGCTGGGGCCAGCCTGTCTGCGGGGTTTCACAGGCAGGGAGAGTGCGGCCCGGAGGGAGGCCACCAGCATCCTGGAGAGGAAAGGAGGCCAGGCGCGGGCAGGAGTGGAGGTCCGGGGCTCCTCCGCCCTGTCTGGAGAGGAGGA